AAGTAAAGTTTCAATCTCTATGAAGCAATCAGCAATGGTGGTCCCCTTCGCAGCTTCCAAAACTCTGAATTCTCTTGGCAATGCTTTGGCCACTCGAGCATCTTGCTGCACATCAAAATCTTTGCCGGCCATGTTTAAGGCAGTGTAGAGCAAGTGAAGACCAGGTGCCATTGCCCAGCGTGTGCAGAACACTTGTGCCCAGAAGTGTCGCCCTGCGAGAAAAGCAGCAGCTTTCTTCCTTATGCTGCGATTAAACTCAGCCCAGCTTTGCTGCTCTTCTAGTTCCGACCCTGCTCTTGCTGTGCCCGTGTCATAGTCACAGTCATAGCCATGGTGCGTGTCGTCCTCCAGCTCATCATCATCCGCCTCAGCCTTCCCTGCTGCTTTTGCTTTTGCTGCCCCGGAGCTACCAGAAGCAGAACTCAAGCCCAACATCCCCCGCGCAAGCTCATTCCAGGCATGAAATTCATCAATCTCACCACTGAAGCCTGCCAAGACAGTGCTCGGAGCATCATCAGGTTTAGACTCCAGTGGCTTTTCAGGACTACCTGTGTACGCAAGCAGAACATGCTTGTGGAGATGCCAAAAGCCTGCAAGCATGGCTACCCAATTGAATTGTGAGTCAGCACCAACCCAGCTCTTGCGAGAAAGTACACCAGGCTTCTTTGGAAGAAGTGCCCAGGTAACATGTTTGCAAAAGTATTCCATGGTTTGCTGGGGGCTGCTGCAGCATCCAAATGGACAATAGTGAATGATGTCATCTGACTCCAAATCTGAGTTGCAAAAATATTCCAATACCAGCCGACGCTTCATATCCTTTGCCGTGATCTCCCATCCCTTTTGTTGACTTGAGCAGCACAAATCTAAAATGTGTTTCCTGTGAGCAGCTATGTCACCAGCGGGTGGGGTGGCATAGACAATTTGCAGCTTTTCCTGGAACACTGACTGGAGAATCTGCCGCAAGGTAGCCAACGACCCAATGGATTCCATCGCCAAGCCAACGTTGACCACACCAGAAACAACCTGGTTGACAACATTCATGGCAGACTTCAGGCATGTTGCTTTCTTGTGAATGTCACATGGATACTGTAATGATGCTTGTGTGGGTCTTTGTTCTTTGAAGTATTTCTCCGACCTAATGTTGCTAGAAGCCCGATCTGCAACCACCATTCTGATGTTGAAGTCGAATTGCTCTTGAAAGCATTCAAGGCCAGGTAGTCGGGCTGCCTGCCGCTGAAGGGCATTGACGTTGTTTTCAGCTGTGTTGCGGTCTAGTGCAACCATGGTTGTGGGCACATCCACAGATATCAAGCGGAAATGATTGGTCCACGAATCCATCACCAAAATGCCTGAGCTGTCGACAACCAGCTGCTCAGCAGATGTAACAAAAAGCAAACAGAATCACCAAACCAGGGGAACAGCCACTCACTAGAGTCTAGAGTCTTCAATCATGAGTCTTGAGTCTTGGGCATCTACGAATCTACAACGTTGTTTTACCCAGACCCAGACCCGGCTACTTAGTAATAGTACAAATATGACTAAATATGATAGACACTTTGATTTGAATAGCGAAAGGCCAGCATAAACACAAAGACACAAAGATCGATCTGGGAGAGTGCTATTGGGTAGGGTAGAGGGTACGGGTAGGGCCTGGGTAGGGTCAGCCTTCTGCAACTATGTATGGGCCAATGTCTTGGTGGTTCAAAGAGGACTGTTCCAGGAGTTTTCCACTTTGGCGCTGGCTGGCTTCTACCAAACGATGTGGTGAGGGAATCCGTGCTGCTATCTGCTATCTTGGAGAAACAAACCCATTTGATTTAGCCTAGTTGCTGAGGCTGCATTCAACCCGCATGATCTTTGCGTGGACATAGACTTCCTCTCCAGTTGTTAGTTGTCCCGCTTTCACCGCCTTCTGGCGAACGTTGCGCGACTGTGCTCCAGTTGACCAGGATGTTTGGAAGAACTTGTTGGCTTCCTGAACACGCATCTTCAATGGTGTCTCATCGTACTTGTACTTTGTAATGCAAGCCGTTGGTTTGTATTTCCTCCTCCGGAACAATGCAGACCATGACTGAAGAAAAGCCCCAATCAGAAATGTTGCCCCAAAAAGAAGCGCACAAGCGTATTGCAGTAGGTTTCTTGCAAGGCTAGTCGTGGCCCGCTGGGTAGATTCAGCTTCGCATCGAGCAGACTTGTACCCTGAATTGTGCACAAACTCTTGAGCCAGTGTATCTTCCAGGGTTTCTTTCTCTAAGATAGCACGGATTCCCCCACCACATCGTTTGGTAGCAGCCAGCGCCAAAGTGGAAAACTCCTGGAACAGTCCTCTCTGAATAGGCCCACCAAGACATTGCAAATGATCAAGTGGCCCATACATAGTTGCAGAAGGCTCTACCTCTACCTCTGATAGCACTCTCCCAGATCGATCTTCGTGTCCGTGCTGACCTTCAATGTTTTGATGTTCAAAAGCTTTTGGTGGAGGTGCTAGGGCCTGTTCAAGAAAAGCATCCCACTCACCTAGTCCATCGTGACTCTCGCCTGGTTTTGCTGGCTCTGGTGGCTGCGGCAACGGGTTTGAATTGTCTTGGGCCGCATGAAAGGTCTTTCCACGCATTCCACTCATCATCCCAATCACGATCATGATCAGGATCATTCTCTGGTTCTCCAACCATGACCGAACTGCTCTCTAAGTTTCTAAGTCAGTCGGTCACTTACTAATGACTATTTGTACTTTTGTTGATTGTTGAGAGAACTGTGTCAAAGACAGCGAGACCTTTGAGTCCTTCAGTTTATGGAATCTATGTCTATGTTTAGGCCGGCCCTATGGCATACGGCCTGCCAAAAGTGATATGCTCATCGGTTTCACACTTCAGATTGAACTGCATGGTCGCTGTTTTACAAAATGCCTGCGGCGTACACTGGACTCGATTCAATGTCATGTTCGAGTCTATTTATATTTAATTGATTCTGATCATCGGTTCAACTCCTCTTCTATTGATTGTTGAATGTCAATGTTGAAATTGCAATCTGGAATTCTAGGGCCTAGGGGTTCCAGAATCTACAATCTACTATCTACAGTATCTTTTTTGCTTTGCTCAACTTGTACTTACTTACTCTGACTCTGGCACCTTCCTGACCCTCCCCCCTGCACGCCTGGGCCTGCTTATCTGAAGCCAAATTCTGGCATCCATGTGAAGCTTGCAATACCAGTAGCCGCCATGTCTCCAAGTCATAGCTGCCATTTGCTGGACGAACCTTGGCAAAGTAACTGGCAAAGTATTCATGGTAGTTTCTCACTTTCTATATATATATATATATATAGAACATCCAAACCGAGAGAGCAAGCCCACCAGCCTAGGCCTGGGGGCTAGGGCCAGGGCCTAGGGCCCAGCCCTTAAAAGGAAACAAAAACATTGTTTCGTATTCACTGTCCAGGAAACTGCTCACATGGGGTTTGCGAAACACTGGAACTTGTTCTCATTCCGAAGCCCATCACTTGCTCTGATATTCCCGTGCGAGGCTCAAATTTTTGGTAAAACTTGATGACGGATCCCTGGGTTGTATCGTTCATGCTGTGCTCTGATATGGAGCCGTCTTGAAATCGTTTGGCTCTGCGTATGGAATACGGGTTGCATGGACTGCCCGTCACTCCCAAACATGGTGATGAGTCAGCATCGGAGCAAGTGCAGCAAGTCTTGCAGCCATGCGATTCATGCAGAGAACAAGGCTTGTCATCGAGCATGTCCTCAAGCGAATTGTACATGTGCTTCACCTGGCCGGGATTGTTTGCCATGATCACGGATTGGTAGCTAGTGTTCATCTCGGCTGCACCAAGGCATTTGAATGGAATACCCAAAGCCTAGGCGGCACCCAGCGTGAAAAGGTTCCTATTCAATTCTACTCTATTCTATTTCCTTTTATGTAACGAAGGCTGACTACTAATACATGACAACATATGTGAAGAGTCTAGTCTAGAGTCTACGACGAACTTCCAGACTACAGAACTACGTTGCTACATTATTGCATCCACTACCAGGATCTATCAATGGAGCCTCGTACCCTGGTACATTGCATCCATGTAGCCTTAAGCACTTCAGCTTCTGCGCAGATGCCCGAGCAGCCAGAAACCAATGTCACTGCCGTTGCTCGAGTATGACCACTTTCAGGCCTAGGCCTAACGGTAAATGTATTAGTATGTTCCTTCAAAAGACGTGCCCACCAAAGTGTTGGTCCCACCAAAGTGTTGTGGTCTTCAGCCCTTTCTGATGGTCCTGATTCTGCTGATCCTACAAGACCTGTACTTGTGGCACTCTTGGTGCGCACGTAATTCAACTGTTGGTCTTGCTCTATGTCTCTTTCTTTCGTTTTCGTAGCCATTGTATGCAGGATGTCGTCCCACTCCTGGCAAAAGTCAGCAAAGTCCAAGTCCTCCATTTGCTGCTCCATTGCTTGGGCCAGGGCCCACTGCTTGAAGGAAGTTGAAAAAGAACCTTTCGATATAATAGTGTATATACTATCTAATCTACTGCAAATGTAGCATATACTATTGACTATATTAAATTCTGTTCTATACAAGTTCTTGTGCAAATCAGGCCACAGCCTTTGCCATGCAACAATACGGTTGAACTCTGGGACTAGGGCTATGGCCGGCCGAGTGTGTTTGACCGGCTTGACCACACAGACGCAGGCATTTAGGAAAACGGTTCTACCATGTTCTACGTGTCACACCCAGAAAACAGTTCCTTTAGCACACTCCTTGGTCACAGTTTGTCAGCGCATGTTCATTTTGCGCTCTCATTTCTCTGCACGTTGATTTCGCCTATTGATTTTACATTGATTTTCTGGGTATGACTGGGTAAAGCCCCTCTCCCTGAACGGATTTCATAAGAAAAGCCCGAGGTTGTTCGAGTCCATCTGAAAACACCCTTGATGGACTTTTCCCCCCCACATCATCCGATGGACTTTTGGTCAGTTGACGGGTCGACCATGTGCGCTCTAAGGACGTGATTGCGCACTTACTTCAGCGCCCGGAGACGACCTATGCTCCAGGGGTGCCTGACGACCTGTTCGCGAAACTCGCGGGGACGGACCCTGTACGCAGAAGCGATTGAAGCGATCGAGGCGGAACGAAGAGAGCGAGGAGCTTTTGGGGAACGAAGTACCTGTGGTTTGCCAAGACGTGATCTCAATGATCATTTTCACATCAAGAACAGCTCAGTGGTAGCTAATGAGCTTTGACTTGGTGGATGATAGATGATGCTAGGGACTTGCAGACATTTGACTTTGTAAGCGGAGGTTGCCAAATGCCTCTGGCCCCAGATGAGCTGAGACTTTTCAGAACAGGGTTCAGGTTTCAGGGTGATTCGCAGATGTTCAGCATTCACAATTGAGTAGGCACATCCAAAACAACCACTGGCCAGCGTATCCGGCCATGGTCCGACCCTTCCGCGACCCATGTCGCGTGCGGTGAAAGCATCTCGTGGTCTTGCTGGCCGCTGGGTTGGCGCCGATGGGGAATACGTGGCGACGATCCGGGGCTCCAGCATTGCATGGCCGGATGGTTCCAAACTGGAGTTTCAAGTGGTTGAAGGCCCCGGATGGCAGCTCTGAACATGTTCAAGTTCGTGTTCTAAACATTGATTACGGACAGCGAAGCGTTGTGGGTCACAAGCACAACGGATTTCCAGCAAATGCAGCTAGCACAAGGGTTTTTCCTTGCCGGACCCAATGCAGGGCTACCAATGCCGCTGATTCAAGGACCAACGCGTTCTTTCCCTAGCAACGTTTTGGGCTAGTGCTCCTGTGCTGCTTGTGCTGCCGACCCCTTAGTAGGAACCCGATAGAAGGCTACAGTGGGTAGGAGGCAGGATACCAACCACTACTACTGGATGCAAAGTCAAAGGTAGAGGCAAGCATATTCCAAGCCCAGTACCCCGCTCTATCCCGCACGGCATGCTTTGGGAAAAGCTTTCGGGCGCGCCATGCGTGCACCACCTTCCCACATTCGGGAGACTTGATTCGCGCGTACCTTCGGCCACACCAATGCGTGGCCTGCACATTTTTGCACGAAATCTTTCAGCGTCAGTTGGAAGCAGAGGGTAGAGGATGCTACTAGGAGCAAAGGGCATCGCTACTAGGAGCAAGGACGCTACTAGGGGCTCCTGGCCGTACTAAGTTACTACTAGGAGCAAGAACGCTAATTACTAGGAGCTTTTTGATCCTCCAGTGGCACAACGACCATGGGCGGTCCTCATCCAGAGCCACATGGAGAGCGACCCTTTGGTGCGACCATGGTTCAAGCTAATGGTCGTAATCTCCCTGGCTATGGTTTTCGACTTTTTCTTTTCAATGTTCAATTCCAGTTATTTAGGATTTGAATTTAGGCACCACCTCGTTTTCCAGTCCCCAGTCTTCTTTATTTTTCAGGAGCAGCTGCTTCAAAATAGACTCATTCTCATGCAATTGGCTAACTCGTTCTACAGGACTCGGAGGTTTTGGCACCGAAATGCATCTATATACGCCATTCTATATACGCCCACATTACTTTTCATTTGTGCGAATCAACAAGGGTTGCTCACATAAATTTGTGATGATTTGTGAACACCTTCGGAGATCTTCGAAGTACCGCCGTTGCCGGGGGGCAAAAAAAAGCCTAGACTTTAACGGCGGATGTACTGGCTTTGCCCATTCCTGTCTTGGCTCTTGCCTACAGTTACAATTTTGTTTGCCCATTGTTGGTTCTTGCCCCAGATGAAAAACCATGCCTACACATTGGCTTCAAATCTCTATTCTTGGATTGTGTTGTGAGAGCTAATGAACATTGGCTGCTTGTTGTTGTTTGGTGCGACGTGTTGTTTTGCCTTTTCCCTTCTAGCTTTCTTGCATGTGGTGATGTTCCCGTTCTGCTGGCGGGTGTTGCTTATTGCTTATCCTTATCCTTTTCTACCCTTTTCTTGCTTGCTCGTTGCCGCTGTCATGTCGTGGTTGCGCTTGTGCTTGTGCCTATTGCTTCTGCTGTCGCTTCCAAGGGAGCCTGTCAAAGGGGGGCCAAGTCCACCTTCTTATTTTCCTGTCTTTTCTCTTCCAAACATTGCTATCTTTGCAGAAAGGTGGTGTGGTGATGTGTGACTTCTTGATCCATGCAGAGCACCGGGCTCTCCCACGAACTCAGTGCTCTTCCACTGATCGGACACGGACGGGGCGCGCTCGGACCTACCTCCGAGTGATGGTCAATTAGGTCCTATAGTTCTCCTTTCTTCCCAACGCGCTAGGTGAGACGCCACTCAGACAAGTTGACGAGCTCTGAAACTGCTAGGTGAGACGCCAAAGCTTGAGTTCGCCATCGGCGGCCAAAGCTTCACCGCCCTCGTCAGCTCTGACCGCTTGGAGTTCAGCGATGGCGACCTTTGGCTGAAGGAGCCTCCTGCCCCTCGCGCGCGGGCCAAGCGGAAAGCCGAAGAGCAGAAGGCAGGTGCTCAACATGACTCGACGACTTTCAAGTCCTTGAGATTGCTCGAGTGAATCTCAAATCTGGACAGGCGCGGAAGTTCAAGATCACCTCAAAGAACAAGGTGGCTTTCTTGAGGAAGGCTGAAGCTTACTTTTTTGTCGTTCATTCACTCTTGACTCTTGACGCTTTCTTTCATAATCTTGTGTGGCATACTCACAGTCCACGACGTCAGAGTGCCACATCAAGAGCTGTTTGAGAGTCTGAGCCGTCTGAGCATAAGGTGGGCATTTTGCCAAAGCCAGATGTTACCACAGATGTCAAAGAATATCTGGATCCTGGCGCAATCTTCCACGCATCAGAAGAGTGGGTCGATCCGCAGGATGACCGGCAGCTGGGCTGGCATTGGGAGTTGAGGCTTTTACGCTTTCTCAGCTTAATCGGATGAGTTGCACGATTCTCACGTGACACCTTTGACTTTTATGCAAGCTGTCAAATCTAAGGAAGTTCTTCTTCCTTGCAACGCATCATGGCTGGGTGCCTGAATGCTCTCGAGGCTTTGCTAAGTCTGACAGGTTGGATGCAGAGCATACACCTTGCCAGCTTCCTTTCGGGTTAACGTGCAGTGAGTAGCCTATTTGATGACCGTCAGATTTGTTTTGTTAAACGCATGACGCATGCCTCTCCTATTCATCTTGGTTCATCTAGCAGCTCCAGCTTTATCCTGCGTTCGCAAGCCCAATGAAACATTTGCCGAACTCCCCCAAGAGCAAAATAGAACACATCCGCGAAGCAATCAGACCAATCCCCTCTTAGAAGGACCGGTGGTGAACGAACACCCCAAATGCTTCTCTAAGGAAAGGATGCGACGAAGGTTGTAGTCGTGGAAGTCACAACGAAGCGGGCCAAGAAAACCGCCAAGGAGGCGATGACGGATGCACAAGCTGTGGAACAGACGGAACAGGATCCTGCAAAAGAGCCAGAAGCGACAGGAGAGAAGGCAGATCAGGATGGTTTCAAGGGGTTTCAATGTATAAATATATATATATAATATATATATTTGGAAGTTGAAGGGCTGCGTTGAAGGTGTGTTTGTGCTTGCAGAGAGAGAGCTAGGCTGTCCTTTGGAACTGATGATACTTCAATGATTGTTTGGGACCCTACACCCCCAACTTTCAATGTTGAGTCTGGCCTCGGAAACAAAGCAGCCACAATTCAATTGCAACAAAATACTTGGCAGGCAGATCCGGAGGGAGCAGAAAAGAAAGATGAAAGTGAAGGAAGATCGGAAGAACCAGAGAAAGATTCCAAGGCAGATTCGAAGGAATGTGTAGAGCGTGAGAAGCCCGCAGCGAAGAGGTCAAAGAACTCGAAGACTGGGCCCCAGAAGAAGGAAGCAGGGCCCGCAGGGCCCGCAGGGCCTTTGTCTAAAGATGAGCTGAAGGCAAAGGTTTCCAAAGAAGTTGAAGTAGTTCCTGTGGAGTCTGACATGTTGGAAGAAGCGGAAAGCTTGGCCAGCAAAGGACACTTTCCCAGTGACTCTTCAGAAAAGTACAGCCAGCTTGTGAAGTTGTCGCCGCAAAAAATCAAATCCTTACTTCATGCCGCATGGCTCCCTCAAGAGGGGTCCAAAGAACGCATCATCATCCGACTTCTGCGCTATTTGGCCGACTGGTTCCCGACTCCTGAGGATATGGAGCTCTTTCGGGAGGCTGGCCTTGCTTGTGCTCCATCCAAGCGTTTGCGTGGGAAGCGTGCGGTCACTCTGCCTCCTCCGCAGGAGCAACCGAAGCCACGGGCGCCACGGGCGCCTCGGGCGAGGCAGGCCGTGCGGACGGCGTCCGTGCGGGGGGCCAAGGCGTCCAAGGCGGTTCCAACTGTTCCAAGTGCTGATGAGCTGGTGGCCCTGGGGCATTTGCCGGAGGATTCTGTGGACAGATACCAGGCGCTTTGCAAGGAAGAGATGGCTGAACTCCAGGAGATGGCCCAGCAGCTCTGGCTCCCCAGTGAGGGCCGTGTGGATCAGGTGGCCCTTCGAATCGTGAGAAAGTTGGCAGGTCGAGATCAGCTTGAAGTGCCGAAGCAGCCGAAGCAGCCGAAGGAGCCAAAGCGTCTCAAGCGCGCCAAGATGGGTGCGGCTTCACGGCTTGGACGTGGAAGAGGCCGGGGAGGCGGAAGGGGAGGCCGAGCCACCGGGGAGCGAACGAATTCGGTGCCCAAGTCTCGGGGGCTAAGCAAAAAGGCCTTACGAACCTTTCTGGCATCTTTCTTGGAGCATGCAGATGTTGAAAGGACAACATTCCGCGAATTGAAGGAAGCAGCTTTTGAAGAGTTTGGTGATCTAAACGATGAGACAGTTGTCTCTTTGCGGGATATGGCTGCTGTGGCCATGCGCAAGCAGTTGGGCGTGCGAAGGGGGAAGGCCGCCAAGGCCGACAAGACGACGGATGCGGTGCCCAGCGGTGGAGAGGAAGATGCTGAGCAGAGCAGTGAGAAACCCGCGGAGGACCAGGGAGAGCCAGTTGAAGAGGCTCAAGCGGCAGCGCTGCTGTCGCTGCCTCCCGAGAATGTTCCCAACACGTTTGAAAAGGAGGAAACAGATCA